GATTTTCGACCCGAAAGGAATTACGACGGGGAGGAGACTGTGGCGGACTGGGTGAAAGAGCGGCATCAAGAACCGACAAATAAGATTCGTTGGATCAATCAACTGGACCACGCAACCTCCGGGATCCTGCTCGTCGGCCTGACAAAACAAACCGCAGCCGCGGTCGGGGACGAGTTCACGCAGCGAAAGGCGCGGAAGTTTTACGATGTCCTCGTGGAGGGGTGGATGGAGGAAACTGAGTACGACGTGCACCTATCCATCCGGGATAAAGCTCCAATATCGCCTCCTGACGTATCATTACAATTGACAAGAACCACCGGGGCCGACGGGTTGGCGACTGCAAAAATTTCTAGTGCCTCCGACGCTATACAATCTGGAGAAAAGAGTCCGGGTGTAGTTGCTTCGCCGGTGGATCTTTGTCATAAGGAAAATGACGGAAAAAAGGCCACAGAAGATGAACGAGGTCTTGTCGAAGAAAAAGAAAGGCCAGCGGTAGGTGCCGCCCCAGCTAAATCATCGACCCTGTTCGCGACAAGAGAGGTCTTCGTGCAAGACGGCGATTTTGTCAAAACTGGCACCGGCGCTCTGCTCGATTTGGCACGGTTCTCGATGTCCCCGCACGAGGACGGGAAGAGCAATGGCCTGGCTGAGCATGCGATGCGCCAGCACAAAAGTTTGAATTCGAATTCATCTCCGGTTGATGTTGAAACAGTTGCAGGTGGAACAAGAAAATCGCAAGCAAAGGCCGAGTCCGCGCACACACACTTTTCGGTCGTGAGAAGGGGGTACTACCGTAGGCCTTTAGTGGCAGCAGAGGGAACTGTTTCGGGTTCGGATTGTTCCAAGAAGGTGACGCTGCTTCGGGTGCGCCTTTTCACCGGCCGCCGACACCAGATCCGGGTTCATTTGGCTTTCTTGGGCCATCCGATCCTGGGTGACGCAGCGTACAGTGCGGTAAGCGGAAATCGGAATGGTGGGAGAAGCAGCAGCTGCTCGCGAAGCTCTTCCTGCACGATGGCTGGACCGGAAGGACCGGGGCCGCTCTCGACTACGCAAAATGGAGTAGAACAAGCGAACAAGCAGCAGCTCCTGCACTCTCCTCGGGACGGCCACGTGTGGCGCATGTTCTTGCACGCGGCGCGTCTCGAGTTGCCGTCCTTCGGAATCTGCTTCGAGGCTGAAAGCGGATTTGAAAAGTATGTGATAGATGAACAAGAAAAGAGCAAAGGCAGATGAGGCTGGGGGCAGCGTGGGAAGGTGGAACGACCATGATGAAGATTGAAAAAACAAATCTTAGTCATATTATTCATTGCTCTACTACTAGTCATTTCTACGCGTACGCATGTTTCAGCGACATCAACATACAAACATAAGCGACACATCCACGCAGGCATAGAAGTTGAGTATCTACAAAAGTGAGTACAAGGGTACTTACCCATGGAAAGAGCGCTGACGCGCTACGAGTTCTTCTTTCTGCGTTCTGGCGTTTAAGAGGACGTGCCAATTGTCTTCTTCAGTTTTTCCCTACTCTGGTTCTCTCTGAGCGGTGGCTGGCTTTGAGCCAAAAGAGTGGCACGAAAGAAGGAGCAGCAGCACATCAATCACTACTTGAAAATAACGGCTTCTACAATGAAGAAGAAGAGAGAGCGGATACAACAAGAAGTACAGCCGCGAATTTGATCTGGATTCGTTTCCGCAAAGCGCAGCACTGGCCACTGTGCTGTGAAGTAGTGTTTTACAAAGGGCTTGGTCCTAGTGTAACTTACAAGTGAAGAATCTTTGTCTGGGTTCTTGACAGTACTCCGCTAGTGCGGTGTCGTTCACCGGTCTACATGTGAGGCCTTTTATTGTACTTACTTACTTAGTCCAACAGCCAAAGCACAAAATGGTTTCCGCCGACGGTCGTTTTTTCAGCAGCTCTTCGACGAGCAACAAGCGGTCGGAGCTGCAGGAGCTCCGCGACGAGTTGCACAGCCAGAAGCTGGAGAAGAAACGCGAGGCGGTGCGGAAGGTGATCGCGGCCATGACGGTGGGCAAGGACGTGTCTTCGCTGTTTCCGGACGTTATAAACTGTATGCAAACCAACAGCCTGGATTTGAAAAAGCTCGTCTACCTGTACGTTGTGAACTACTCCGCCACGCAGCCGGAGCTCGCGATCCTGGCAGTCAACACCTTTCGCAAGGACTCTCTGGACCCCAACCCGTTGATCCGGGCGCTCGCGGTGCGCACCATGGGCTGCATCCGCCTGGACGCTGTGACGGAGTACATCCTGGAGCCCCTGCGCCGGTCCTGTCGGGACCAGGACCCGTACGTGCGCAAAACCGCGGTGATGTGTATCGCGAAGCTGCTATTTTTTGTGGAAACGTTCCCATCCGAAAGGTGAGGCACTGTCCACCTTGCAGATTGGCAATTTCTGCAGCTGCACAAAGTAAGTAGTCGTTTGTAATGCGCGTCGCTCGCTGCCGCTGGTACACCAGACTACCTCCTTATGCTCGAGTCAATATGAGGATGCGAACTGAAACTGATCGCGATCATCTTTGTAAGTATTCATTTCTAAGCTGCTCATGCGCAACCTGCAATACTTTGCAATTCGTGTAGCCAACGGCACATCTGAACTAGCTGCGGGGAGGGACGTTTTCGCATAGGATAGTGGTACGACATCCAGGCAGAACTGGTGGAAGAGCACGGGTTCGCGGAAATTTTGAAGGATCTCACGACGGAGTATCGCACAGAGAAAACACAACGCACAGGTCGACCTGTTTTTGTTGCAAAACCCAAGAAACAAGATAATGGTTGCAGGTTTAGCGTAAAAATACAAGACAGAGTTCGACGTTGTAGCTGCTTTTTTCTGTCCCATACAAGCAGTAACCCGGCGGTGGTCGCGAATTGCGTTGCGGCGCTGTCGGAGATGAGCAAGAAGAATCCCTTGTACTTGCAAATCGTCGACCAAGCGCTGACGCAAAACTTGCTGCACGCGTTGAATGAGTGCACGGAGTGGGGCCAGGTTTTCATCCTGGACTCGCTCGCACACAGCTACAACCCCGCGACGAGTCGCCAAGCGGAGATGCTGCTGGACCGGGTGGCGCCGCGGCTCTCGCACGCAAACGAAGCGGTGGTGATGGCGACCATGAAACTGTTCCTGAAGTTGATGGACAGCATCACGAATCAAGAGACGAAGCAGGTTTATCTGCAGAAGCTGCGCCCGCCGTTGATCACGCTGCTGAACTCGGACTCCGAGATACAGTTCGTGGTTTTGCGGAACCTGCAGCTATTTTTGAAAAAGTACGCGAACGTTTTTTCGTCTTCGACCAGCACCAATGCGAGGTTTTCGCTGGACGTGAAGCTTTTGTACTGCAAGTACAACGATCCGACGTTTGTAAAGATGGAGAAGCTGGACCTGCTTCCCTTGCTCATCTTTTCTTCCGCGGGTGGTCCTCCCGCAACCGCCTCGGGACCACCCGGACAACTCGGTCCATCTGTCGACACGAACATGCTGGACTCGGTTCTGTCGGAATTGAAAGACTACGCCTCGGAGGTCGACATTGATTTCGTCCGGAAAACGATAAAGACCATCGGGAGAATCGCGCTGCAAAGTGAGGTGTGCGCGGAGTACTGCGTAAATTTACTGATGGAATTGATGGACACGCAGGTCCACTACGTTTTGCAGGAGGCCATCATCACCATGACGCTGCTTTTCCGCAAGTATCCGGGCAAGTTCGAGAAATGCATCCAGGTCTTGTGCGACCATTTGGAGACCATCGACGAGCCGGAGGCGCGAGCCAACCTGATCTTCGTACTCGGGGAGCACAGCGAGCGGATCGACAACGCGGACGAGATTCTGCTACACTTTCTCACCGGGGGCAGTAGTAGTTCTCGGCCGAATCTGCAGCAGGAGGTCCAGCATTTCCGCGAGGAACCGGGGGTGGTGAAGACGGTGCTGCTCACGGCGATCGTGAAAATGTTCCTGAAAAGCCCAGGAAACCGGACGCAGCCAATCGTCACCAAGTGCTTGATAAGGAGGGAAAATGGGATGTCTGAGATGAAGTCGTAGATGACACCGAAAAAAAAATTACGTAACAACAAGTCTGACTGTGCTGGTCGAGCGGGTGTTACGTTTGAAATACTGGTAACAATCGATCCGGCAGATGAAACCGCATGAAATATGTAACTGTGATATGTGTTTTCACTTGTGTGTGAACGGGACGAGGTCGAGGACTTGGACTCCAACTCAGACGTCTTTGCATGTGATAGTTCAAGCTTTGCACGGAAGAGGCCGATGATCCGGATTTGCGGGATCGAGGGTATAGTACTCTTGTTGTGCTTGTCAGTGAACCAATATCAACTATGCGTTCTGCACCAGCAGACATCATACATAAGTAAGTACTGACTTCGTAATTGTTCAAGCTCAAATACAACCGTGAACACTACGCCAGTTACATGTACTGGCGTTTGCTTTCCGCGGACCCGAAGGTCGCGAAGCAGATTCTTCTGTCCAAGCAGCCAGTGATCATTATCCCGCCGAAAAAAGCTAGCATAGCATTTAGTTGGTAATGCAAAAATTAATAAGTAGGCAAGCGCTTACCCTAAACAGCATGCTATGCTCGCTTCTTTCCCCGGGATACTTATCGACGAGAAGAACAGCTTGACTTCGAACAGTACGAACGACAAAATTCTGCAGACGTGGGGCTCCCTCTCCTCGGTGTACCGGCAACTCCCGGAGCAATTTCTGTCCAATTTAGCGGACCAAGGCGGGAAAAACGCGCTTATGCAGTTCGCAAAAGTTGTAAATGATTTTCCCTACTGGTAGTTCTTGTCGTGTGATTGTACTAGCTCAAAGCAGCAAGAAGTAGGTTCGCGAAACGTAGGATAACATCGTGGTAAAGTGTTCTCAATGAGCACACCTTGTGAACAACAACACTGTGCCGATTTGTACTTGGCCACTATTCATTCTCACTATCTTTTGCGATCTATAGCTGAGCGCAACAAGGAGGCCTATGACGAGGACATGGACAGCGAAGACGAGGAAAACGCGGTTGCGCGACTGCGGCAACTGCAGGCGGAAATGGGTTTCGATGAAAATTACAAGCAGAAAGGACCGAATGCAGCATCTGCTTCGAACGCAGCCGGCCGAAAACCACCGCAAGACGGAACGACCGGCGCTGCGGGCACGACTTCCGCCAGCGCTCAAGGACCCGCTTCGTCCACCACGGCGCTCGCGATCGCGAAAGGCGGACCGCTGTCAGGGTCTTCGAACGTGGGCCACGTCGAGTTTGAGAACGCGTCTAAAAACGGCGGACCGACCAATTCCAGCAGCTCGGCGGCGAGCGGGGCCGCGAGCGGAACCGGAAGCGACGACGAATCCTCATCGTCTGAGGAGGATGAAGGCGAAAATTCCTCGGACAGAGACGAAGATTCTTCGGGAGACGGTTCCAGTGATGAAGACGGGTCCGGAGACGAAGACTCGTCGGACGAGCAAGGTGGTACTAAAAACAAGCCGACCCCTGTACTTGCCGCGCTCGAAGACGCCAAGTCCTCGTCTTCCTTCTCACCGCCACAGCGAGGAACAGCAACTACTACCGCAGGCCTCTCATCAACATCAAATCAAGGCCGTCCGGTCACCAGCCAGAGCCAGGCGGAAAGCGTCAAATACGCCTTGGTGCTGCCGGACACGAAGCCGGGGAAGGGCGGCCAAACAGGGCTCAAGATCGCAACCTCCTTGGCCCGAAGTACTTCTTCCAGCAGTTCTACCGCGCCGGGAGGTTCCAGCCAGAACAATAAATCCCTGCTGCTCTTCCTCGCGTTGCAGAACAACACGAAGCAAACCTTGCAGAACTTCCAACTGCAGGTGAACAAAAACTTTTTCCAGCTCGCGCTCGGCCTGCAGAAACCCTTCCTGGACATCGAGCAGCTACGGCCGAAGGAGTCCAAGACAATTGTCATCCCCATCGTGATCGCCGCGAAAACAGCGGGAACACCGGACAGCAATAGTTCCGCCGCCGCCGCGATGAATACCATTCTCACGTTGAACAACCTGATCGTTTTGGAAGCGGCCCTGAAAACGAACCTGGACCTGTGGTATTTCAAAATCCCCTTCGAGCTGCACTCCATCCTGATCCCTGACGTGCCGCTTCCCCAGGCGCAGTTCGACTTAAACTGGGGCAAGTTGGAACCGAAGAGCTCCAATAAACCCAGCGGAACTGGAGGCGCGGAGGCCGCTTCTTCTAGCGCAACGACGTCCGAATTCGTGGTGGTGCCCATCAATCCGGATACGAAGGAAAAGCACTTTTTGCCCACGCTGTTGCGAAAATTTCGGGAGCGCAACTTAATTTTCGTGCACCACGTGGACAAAACCCGGGTAGGGCTCGACCAAAACGCTACGCACTCCTTCCAACTTGGCGGCTGTTTTGCAAACCGGATGGCCTTTTTCGTGCAGATCGTCATTCGCGGAGCAGTATGGCCCCGTGCAAAAGTATCGCACTTTTCAAGTGTAGCACAGCTGCACTCAGCTGAAGGACAAGTTCGTATGCTTGTATGCTTGTGGGAAAGTAGTGATGTTCATCATGCGACCCTTGGGCTTCAATGATGATGACAGATGATCGCGATCCCGTTCCCGATCTCTCCCCAACTTCCGTGGTTTGGCATTCTGCACGGCAAGATGCGGGCGATACTTTTGCGAATGCATATTCTGCTGCGCAGGTGAAGCTGCGAAGTGACCAGGAAACGATCTTGCCACACGTGCAGAAATTGTTTGAAACGATTTTGAAGTCCTGATAGAAATGGCAGACGGTTGCAAACTGTGCAAAAGTTCTCCGGATCCGTTGCGGTCACAGTATCTAGGTTGCAACCATGGATACAGACCAAGAATGATAAACTTTAACTGATTCGCAAATCCGGAGACGCGTATTCCATTCGCAAATCCAGAATGGCATTCTGCGGTCATGCCCCGTAATGGGACGACTGTGAAGTTGTATCGATTTCAACCGTTCACCTCTGAATTCGTGAAAGCAAGCGTAGTCGAGAGGCAGGATTCTTCGCACGTCATGTATCTATAAAGTTATCGTTTCGACCTGCCGGTCGCAGCATACTTGATCGGCTTTCGTAATATTTGCGGTTCTTCTCAAAAATCGTTATTACAAGGCTGCAGCTTATGTCGCGTAGTGGGAGGGTGAACGAGTGGACAGGGGGGAAAGAAAAACGCCAGAGGGTGGGCAAGGGAGAAAATTTTTGATGCAGGACGGGGCCAGGCATCTGCGCCGCTTCTTGCTGAACGAACGAAGGCGGAGCGCCATGGGGCGCCCGTGGTTCCCGTCGTTGCGCGAGCGCGAGGACCCCGCCCGCACTGGGCGCGCGTTTGCGTGGCGGCAAGCCTTAGGCCCAAGCAACAACGCAAAGCGCGGCAGCGGGCGGGCGCCAGTGGACGGGGGAAGGAGGCAAGGGAACTAATAGTCCGCGCCATGCGAGGCGCTGGCACGTGACGCCCCGCCCGCGCGTTTGCGGTGTGGCCCGCCCGTGCCGCCTGCCCCCTGTGTGCCCCGCCCCTGCGCGCCTTGGTGCCCCCCCCGCCCTTCTCCCGCGCGCAGCCTTGCAGAGAAGGGGCTCGCTGATGCCCCTGCCGCGCGCGTGGATGGAGGACGGGCGCCGGGGCGGGGCAGC